TTAAGGGTGTGTGCCACCACTGCCTGACCTCTATGTCTAATCTAGTGTCTGGTTCTGTCCTCTGATCCCCAGGCAAGTTTATTAGGGTACACAGTATATCACTGACAGACAGACAGACAGACAGACAGACAGACACACACACACACACACACACACACACACACACACAGTGCTGGGAAGAACACTGGTGAGCACACTTAGCAGCAAGATGCTGGAATAAAGAGAACATAAATGACGAAAGTTAGGCGTGCCTACAAAGAACAGAGCCTAAGGGACATAGAAGGAGAACTTCTTGTCAGGATGGAGATTTAAGGTAAGATCATGGCTTTTCCCTTAGAGTCTGTTTTCAACAGTGCAAGAAAACAGAAAGACAAATCATTTGCAAAGCTAAAAAAGTGGCTTCTACAGCTTTTGGTAGGGAGTATTTGTTTTACTACCCTTAGACTGGGAGAACAGGAAAGAGAGACCCTGAAAAACTACAAGCTACTGTAGAACACATCCTACCTAGCCCTTTCCAGATCCCCAGTCACAGCTCACTTGTTTAACTATTATATTCTCAATAACAAATGCCCATGACAGCGCAATTACCACTACACAAGCATTTGTATAAATATTATATTAAACTAATACTAAATGACTGTAAAATGAATAGTTTTATGTATCAGGAAGTGGAGGCTAGGGTTGTAGGACAGTGGGGATGGGCACATGCCTACCGTGAGGTCCTGGTTTCAGTCCCTGTCCCTACAGAAATAGTCAGGAAATACTCTGACTGCTCTGCAGGTCTCAGACCTTCATCCGTGCTGGCCACCTCGTTGTCCCTGGAATATTTTGACATGCTGTTTTCACTTACTTTTTATTCAATTATGCTCTTCTCTTAGAGAGCACACCTCATTTCTCTTCTAGGTAATTCTGTTCTTGGAATCTGTCTGAATAGAGAGCTGCTCAAGTGTGTGCTCTAAATTTATCTGTCCATCTTAATGCTTGTCTATGCAGCTATCTTAAAATGTGGCTCCATAATCACTGTGTGTTGCTGCAACTATCTTTTTTTTTTAAAGTTGGTTTATTATGTATACAGTGTTTTGCCTGCAGGCCAGAAAAGAACACCAGCTCTCATGATAGATGTTTGTGAGCTACCATGTGGTTGCTGGGAATTAAACTCAGGACCTCTGGAAGAGCAAGCAGCCAGTGCTCTTAACCTCTGAGCCATCTCTCCAGCCCATGCTGCAACTATCTTAAATATGGTTCTGTAATCACTGCATTTATTGCAGCTATCTGAAATGTGGTTCTGTAATCACTGCATTTATTGCAGCTATTTAAAATGTGGTTCTGTAATCACTGCATTTGTTGCAGCTATTTAAAATGTGGTTCTGTAATCACTGCATTTGCTGCAGCCATCTTAAATGTGGTTCTGTAATTAGTTTGCATTTGTTGCAGCTATATTAATGTGGCTCTGTAATCATTGTGCATTTATTGCAGCTTTCTTAAATGTAGTTCTGTAATCACTGTACTTGTTGCAGCTTTCTTAAATGTGGCCCTGTAATCACTGTGCATATGTTGCAGCCATCATCTTAAAATAGTCTTTTTCCTCTCTAAATGTAGAAAGAAGGAAAGAAAGAGCGAGCTGTGGTGGACAAAGTGTTTTTATCAAGGCTCTCACAGATCCTGAAAATCATGGTCCCTAGAACATTTTGTAAAGAGGTAAGTCTTAGGAGATTATAATACTGTATGTTCAATTTCCATATTCACAAGTATTCAGAACAATAAGTCATAGCACTTCAGGTAAGATGTTTTCTGTGTACATAAAGAAGACTTAATAGTCTCTAAAAATTAGCACCTGTATTGCTGAAGTAACCATTGCCTGCTCATCACTTTTTAATACCCGTTTTTACCTAGTAGAAGCTTATGATAATTTTGTATTATCCTGATCTGTCAGATCCGCACCTTCATGCTCCATGTGGCTTTAGTCTTTTTTCCTGCCCTCAGTCTCCATCCTCTCCTGTTTCCTTTGGTCCGTGTAATGTATTTTTCCTGCCACAGCTACTTCTGCTATTCTAGACTTCCCCTCTTCTCACTTCCATGAGGTTGTACAACTCTGTCTGACTGAGTTTATTGCTTTTTATGTGTAGCTCTTGCCTTAAACACTCAAGTTGAAAGCCCTAAGAAACCCGGCAGTGTTAAGAGACTTTTTATTTAACAAGTTGAACCTCATTTGTTTAGCTTGTACAAAATTTTAAGCTTCAGTGCTTATTGTTTAGTTAACACAGTAACCATTACCAGTGTTCTTTATTAAAGTAGTATATTAAAAATAAATAAGAAAATCACAAATTACCAAGCCAGATAGTCTTAAGTTACGTGTCTAGTTTCCACCATTGACTTTTTGTGTGGTATAATTTTAAGTTCCTTTTAAACTTTAACATTTATTATAGATAAAATACACATACAATGTAAATAAATATTGTAAGAGTAAAACTTGGAAATTTGAAACCAAAAACTTCACCAAGTTATTGTTTCTTTTAACATTCTAAAATGCATTTAGTTTACTCTACATGGTTTATTTTAGACAGGCTACTTGATACTTATTGCTGTTATGCTGGTATCTCGAACATACTGTGATGTTTGGATGATTCAAAATGGGACGCTCATTGAAAGGTACTTGTTCATTCATGTTTTTCTTGTGTGTGTGAAATAATAGTTTGCCTTGTATTTAAGCATTGCCTTTATAAGCAAAAAAAAAAAAATAAGGTAAAATATACTGAAGTCTAGATATGTGTTTGTTCATTTACATAAACAGTTTCTGGGGTATTTCCTGTGTATTTCCTGGTAGCACTGTGGTACATGATGGTAGGGATGTGTACCAGTGAACAGGAGAAATTCTGTATCCAGCCTTGCTGAACTGACAGTGTGTCAAGGAGAACAGACAAGGAAGCCCAGAATTACAATGCAGTCTGACAGGTGCTATATTCAAGCTTAAAAGAGCAAGCAAAGGGGTTGGGGATTTAGTTCAGTGATAGAGCGCTTGCCTAGCAAGCACAAGGCCCTGGATTCGGTCCTCAGCTCAAAAAAAAAAAAGAGCAGCAGGCAAGTGTTGATTGTCTAAAATAAGATAATTTAGAGGAAAGTGTCAAATTGGTGAATCATATGGAGTGTGCCTTTTTCCTTTTAATAGGAAGAAAATCTTAATCTTTTCTGTTTCTAAACTTAATTTTTTATGGTTTTTATTATATTTCTGACATAACTTTGTAACATGAATCTTAAAAGTTCTTATTAATAAAATCAAACCTGAGGCCAGTTATTGGAGTGAACGCTGGAAGATCAGAGAGACAGAAAAAGCCACAGCTACCCTCACCTGACCAACTTCTCAGCTGGTCTTGTTTCCTCAGACTGGAAGCCTCTGTGTCCTCATATCCAAATGGCTCTCAGCTGAACTGTGCTGCTCAAAACCTAAATGCTTAACCAGGCAAATGCTTAACCAGCCAAATGCTTCTAGTTTCTGGTCTTCACGCCTTATATATCTTTCTGCTTTCTACCATCACTCCCTGGGATTAAAGGCTCGCTTTCCAGGATTAAAGGCGTGAGTCACCCTGCTTGGCTGTATCCTTGATCACATGGATTTCTGCCTCTGGAATGCTAGGATTAAAGGTGTGAGTGCCACCATTTTCTAGCCTTTGTATCTAGTGGCTGTTCTGTCTCTAACCCCAGATAAGTTTTTTAGGGTGTACAATATTTGGGGGAACACAATACCACCACATAACTTAATCACTGCAATTGAAAATTTTGGATTTAATACTGAAAAGGGCAGTTGGGATCTCAAGTTGTTGCAGCACTCGTTTGTCTGTTAAAGAATTTGCTAGTATAACATGAATGACAAAGTGAAAACTTTTATTGGAATTCTTTTTTGTAGTATGCAGTGTTTATCTGATATGTATTAAAATATATATCTAAGGTTCCTTTTTGGATAATATACCGAAACTTTCGAAATCTTTTAAAATAATGTTTTTCATTTATATCCTTGATGTGTAGGAAGCATGCTCTATGCCCATGTTTTCTGACTCATTTATGAAGGAAAGTGAAGAATTGTGATTGCCTAGGATAAAAGCCCTTTGTAAACATGTATAGGTAAATTATGTAGGTTTTCAAACACGACAGTGATCTTTCTGAATGTGTGTGCATTTCTTTTTGTGGGCCGTGTGAATTTGGAGTTTTGTCTTTGGAAGGAGAGAAGTCTCTGGCTTGTCTCTGTGGTGTCATTCTCTGGTGTTTGGTTGTCAGGAATTATTGGTTACTGATACTGTGTATTGCTGGGAGCTAAGCTACAGGCTGTGCTTTGGTAGCTGCTCTTCTGAAAGCATGCTGTTTGGCCTGCCATTTATTAATTACAGGTTTTTGTTTGCCCCCTGTTCTGACTCAGCACAAGGTTTTTCACAGTACTGTAAAATCTCCACAGCATGGTTAATGTAATATTGCCCAGCACACCAGGCAATCTAATTTTACATCCCTGTTTTCACCCCCACCCCATGCCTTTGTAGTTTCCTGTGTGCCTAAATCTTTTATTGTTATTTTCCCTGTTAACTTCCTCATTTTGGTAGACACAGTCTTTTTCTGAGAAAGGGCCAAGGAGAATAAAATTTTGAGACCTTGTGGTTCCAAAAATGTCTTCTATGCTCACACACTCAGTCGATGATTGAACTGTCATCAGACTTGGAAAGTGTCACTCTATGGCTTCTAATTCTCATCTTGGCTGCAGGATGTAGAATCTTTGGTACCATCTTAAGAATTGCTGATGCCTAGGTCTCACTCAGGAGTTCCAGTTTAATTAGCTGTTGCTGTTTGAGACGTCCCGGGTGATTCTGATTTGCAGGAAGGATTGAAAACTACCTACCATGTCTTTAATTCTATTAGCTAGAAAGCTTCTCCACACTTAGAACTTTATTTCCAAGAACCATCTATTGTAGGGATCTTCATTTTTATAGTAGTCATACTTTCACTTAAGGAACTTTTTCATTTCTGAAGCTGTTACCTTATTTTCTTCTTAGTTGTTTTTTCATTAGTTGCCAGTATTATTTCTGTGTCCTTAATGGTCTTGTTTATGTTAGAGGATGTTCTCAAGCAGCTTTTGACTCTTGGCTGTGAATTCACAATTAAGAGTGAAGGCCTTAAAAAACAGTTAAGGCTTGTTGATCATCTGATTTCCGTTGAAGGGTGTCTGTAGGAGTCTTAAGTGTGTGCACGTGCAATATTTTTTGGTCATGCTTTATATTTATGTAAGCCATAAGCCCAAGTAATTTGAGGCCTCATATGATAAATACACAGAAGACATTTCTAACCTTCCATACTTTTCTCTGATAATTTTATCTATATTTTAAGAGTCCCTCCAACTATTACCGTTTTCACAAATGATATTGTATTTGTGTGTGGTAAAAGTATACAATTTATGCCCACTACAAATATTATATTAAGTATCTGGATAGAATCACATAAAGAATGATACAGAATTGAATATTACTTTATCTCTTAAAGAATAAAATGGAAAATTATCTTTTAAAGTTTTTTCTTTTCAGATATCATAAATTCATGTTTCTGTAGTCCAAAAGTAATTTTTATGTACTAGACATTTCTATTTTTTGTTGAATTGATTTTCTTACACACTTGGTAACATGGAAAGTGCATTGCTGAGAGTAGATCGTATGTAATTTAATTGATGATGACGGATATGAGCCAGTTTATAATTCTGTGAGTCAGCCTATTGGGTATCAAGTTTTACATTTTAATTGTGAAACTAAAAAATTCTTTGCTGCAAGTTTTCTTGAAGTTTTATCTTATTTAAAACAATTCTTTAGGAGTTGGGTGTGGTAGCATACACCTGTGATCCCAGCTTTCAGGAGACCGAGGCAGGAGGACTGCGAATTTGGAGCCAGCCTGCATTCTATTACAAGACCCTGTCTAAAACAAAATAAACATTTTAATGATTTTTCATTGAGAGTGGGCTTTGAGGTTTCAGGAGTGCCTGTGCTGTTCTCGTTAGTGCTCTGCTCGTGCGCTCTCTGCTCTGGCATCCCTTCACAGGAGAGAGAACCAAGACAGCTTTCTCTGCAGTATACTTCTTGAGCATCAGGAATGTATGAGACTTTGACACTTGGTAAATACAGATATTTATTAGCTGTGTAGTTTAAAGTAGTTTTAATATTACAAGACAATTTCACTTGAAAAATTAACAGTTTTTTTCTGTCAATATTAAAGTTACATTGTGAATGAATTTGTTTGTCTTTTTCTTTTTGGCTCTTATAAGTAGGTTTAGAGTTCCAGGAGCTTTGTTAGTGTTATTAGTGTGCTACATTTTATTCTCTTTCATATTTAAGACTTATTTGTTAGTAATGGCCAAAAAGTGTGTAGAATGGGTAAATTGTAATAGGTCAGACATTTGTAAGGTAGAAACTAGTGATGCCACAGTGTGCAAGAGGATCCTTCTTAACTATGGCTGCTCTATCCAACCATAAAGATTGTTTTAGTTTCATCTATTTTGTTTTAAGCATTATTTTTAAAACACAAAACAATCTTTCATAAATGTCTTTATGTTTTTGGGAGTAATAGTGACTAGGTTACTCATTGCTAATTATTTTTCTTTTGCAGTGGAATAATAAGCAGAAGTGTGGCTTTATTCAAGGAACCATTTTTTAAATTTATAGCAGCTACTCCATTGGTAAACAGTGCACAATGATGGATGGCATGTGACAAAATGTTGTAGATAGTTTCAAGTGCTTCACAGCTTGGGCAGCGCTAAAACACTTTGGTTTTCTGCAGTTCGAGTCAATTTTAACTGAGACTTAGAAGCTTTTGTACTGTCCTAATTGCTTCATGTTTCAAGTAGAGTCATTGCTGTGAACAGTATGTCGGTACTGTTCCATGTTTTCCTTCTAGTTCAGCTTTTACAAAGACCAGTATCTCTTTCTCTTCAAGAATTATAGAAAAATTGCATATTTTATTTTCCCCATTAGTGTAAGGTACCATTTCTTAAAAGTTTTGTCAAGAAACAGAGCATGCTGTAAAGCCATTTTAGATTTTTACATATTAAAATCTTTGAGAAGATCTTTGTAAGGATGTTTGATAACTTTGTTTAATCCAGATTTCCCAAGTTTATTCACCTACTTCCTCATAAAAAATAAATTATTTCCTTATC